GTCCTTGTCCTTGTCCTTGTCCTTGTCCTTGTCCTTGTCCTTGTCCTTGTCCTTGTCCTTGTCCTTGTCCTTGTCCTTGTCCTTGTCCTTGTCCTGATAGCACCTACATTTGCCCATCAATGGCTTCATCATTATACTGACACAATGATAGCTCTGATAAGTTGATGATAGCCAAGGGAGAAAGCCACTAAAGTGGTGATTTCATASTGACTCCCTACCCAAACTAGTCCTTTAGAAGTCTTTTCCTACTATGGGAAGCAAGGTGAGTATTGTGTTCACTCTTCACTCCAAGAAGATCCAGATTGTAACATGTATTCATGTTATATAATTCCATTCATGATGTTTAGCAAGTGCTAGATTCCACAAAACTAAAAAAAATACTCATAATCATGCAAAGTGGATGCCTTGATATACAGCCAAGGTCCTACCTTTTGGGTCCTCATTTTTGCTGTGTATTTAGTTTTGAGCACATTTTGTATCACATTGTATTTTTTGAGTAAAACTAGTCAGCTGAAGCATCACATGTACCAATTTTTTTCCCTCAAGTCAACTTTTGCACATATACCTACTAGTAGTAGTGGCCTATTTTGGTTTGTAATTTTTGAATTTCAAGAGTCATACTAACACCAAGAAATGAGAGCCCTAATCCATGAACACCAGTACAAATGACATGTAAGAAATTAACTAAGGAATACCTAACTCTAACAGCTACCTTGGTTCCAAATGGTTCCTCAACAGTCACATGCACAGGAGAAGAAAGCCACCAACAAAGAGAGGAATCTCGTTGTATTGGAGAGTACTTGTAGGAGGTTCTGAGGAGGAGGAGTATTGTATAAACTATCCAAAGCCACAACAAAGAAGTCTGATATCAGCAAAAGGAACAGGAACACTGGTTCAACAAAGGGGAACTTCAGGATTGAGGAAGGGATGATGTTGATGACCTAGGTGGATGGCATTCATACTAGTAGTTTGGTTGCTAGCCTACTAAGTTCAAGATTGGAATTTTTTGATAAGAGATTTACTTTGTACTTACTACTGCCACAATAAATCAATGGGGTCTACCAAGGTCTATGTCTCTAATGAGAATCACGAACAGGAAGGGCATCTGGTAAATTTAGATCACTTTGCCTCAAGTAGAAAACTATGGTGATATTCTCTTGGTGTAGTATGGTGGTTATGAACATTAATAGCAGATGAGACCCATTGGATCTCTAATTTGATTAGGACTTTGTAAAAGCTATGATTTGCACTGGTATGGTATAAAATCAAAAGGACCTTGACTTTTGCAAGAATGATCTAGAAAGGCCAGCAGGAGCTAGATGAAGATATTTTGCATGCAAGTTTGACTGCATCCTCGCTCTTTAACTCACTTTACAAACAATACCAACTGCTTCACTTGGAAAACTGGGTTAGACTTGTGTATTGATTTGAAGTACTGTAATACCATTTATCAATCAGGAAAACAATGCTAATTTAAAACTTCTTGACAACATGATCATATTCATAAAACACTGGGCGTTAAATGCTGAACATCAAATTCCTTTAATATAGATTACTGGAGCAAGCAGACCTGTGTCTTGCCAAATGTAGTACAATGACGCAATTTGATAAAAAAAGAGATTATTTCGATAATGTTACCGCCCTGGCCTTTTCTTACACAAAAATTCCAGTAGTAAGCTTAATCAACACAAATATATTGCAGAATCCATTCACAACAACATATCAAAGTCATGCTCCACTGATAGTGACGACCTTCATGTTATTTGCCACCTCATACATGTGGGTTGCTTTTCCTAATGTTTGATCCACTACAATGACACGTTCTCCTTTGTTTACAAAACCCATCTCGATCGCAGTCCGAATAGCTTCTTGACGCAAAAGGCCAGTGCTTGTGATTTGGCTATCTGAACCTGGTGCTGTGGTTTGAAGCATTATAGGGGTGATTGCACGATGGAGTTGCAATCGCCTTGCAACTTGAGGATCCGTACAAAATGCCAAAACGGGAACATCTGGCTTGTGTCGAGCAACCTATTGTCATATCACCAAGAAGAAACGTTTAGGAATTCAGATCAGTTTGGTTCCGTTCATTCTCAAATCATAATGAATTAGGTTCACTTACAGCTTTTGCAAATTTTCCTTCTCTGCTAACCATAATTATTTTTGTCACGTTCATAACACTAGCTGCTTTGACGCATGAAGCTGCTACACCATCCATTTCTTGCTCCTGTGGTGTCAAAGACTCATGGAGGGATTGGTTCCAATACATACTCCCTTGGTTTGATAATATGTGATCTGCCTCCACCAAAACGCTTGCCATGGATTTGAGTGCATCGATTGGGTATGCTCCTGCTGCAGTTTCTCCACTAAGCATGACAGAGTCTGCTCCGTCCAGTACCGCAGTTCCAACATCTGTAACTTCAGCACGAGTTGGCCGTGGATTTCGAATCATACTATCAAGCATTTGAGTTGCGACAATTACTGGTTTCCCTACTTCGTTACATTTCGATACCATCATCTTTTGTGCCGCAAAGACTGTGCTGTAAGGAATCTCAACACCGAGATCTAGAAGGGGTAATAAAGTATATGGGTTACAAACATGAAATCAAGTGAGGGCGGCGATACTTCAAAACTCAACTATGAAATAATGCTCGTGAATTGGAAAACTCGACGCCGACTACATACCTCCACGAGCTACCATGATTCCATCGGACTCTTTCAAGATTTCATCAAAGTTATCAACTCCTTCTTTGTTTTCAATTTTGGAGATGACTAGTGGTCGAACTCGAGCAAAACCATCCAATTCTGGAAGTGATTGAACGCAGCGATTCAAGTACGCAATGACCGAACGCACGTTTGCACCGGTTCGGATAAAGCTTGCGGCAATATAGTCGGCGCCCATTTCGCACGCCCACTTTAGATCTCGCTTGTCTTTTTCAGTGAGTGCTGGTAAATCCAATTCCATCCCAGGCAAATTAACTCCCTTGTTCTTTTTGATAGGCCCGCCGTTCAAGGCTCTACAGACTACAAACTTTCCGTTGGGGTCAATCTCTTCCACTTTCAAGGCAATCAATCCGTCGTCCAACAAGACCAACTTGTCAACCGAAACTGTGCTACAAATCGATTGGTAATCAATGTTGATTTTTCGGTCTGTATCGCCTTCTTCTGGAATGGGTTCTCCGCTGACATCTTCCACAGTTAAGATGACCTTCGCATCTACTTCGATGTTGACAACATCTTGGTCTCCTGGCAAGATTCCCGTTCGGATTTCTTGCAAATCATACACAAAATGAGGAAAATTCGAAATCGAATTGAATCAGTCGCGCTCATATTCAGTTTGCACGAACAAGCTTCACGGATGGCAGATTTGTTCGTCAGTTTCTGCTATGAGAAACAACAACACTCACCGGGACCCTTCGTATCGACCAAAACAGCACGTAAGTTGTGCGGCATGCCTCCTTTTCCTGGAGATATGGATACGGAATCAGTATGGCCCTTGGTTTCTCGCACCATTTTAAAAAGGGTTTCAGGGTATGTATAGTCAGCTCCTGCGTGGGAAAAATTTAGCCGGGCAACGTGCATGCCATTCTTTATCAGTTTCTGCATTTGCTCTGGACTGTCTGTTGATGGCCCAATGGTACAAACAACTTTGGTCATGGTTCCTGTCCTAGGTGCCTCCTTCAAGCGCAAGAGCTCAGGAATCACGGGCTTGGAATCGTCGGTAAACCGACGAGTTCCGACGGGTATTTGAGCTGCTGGAAGCAGACGCTGCCAAGAGGTGCGCGACGCCAACGAGGCACAYGCTTTTCTAGAAATGGAAGCCAACATGGGCATGTTGTGTACAGCAGCAATTGGATTCTCGCTCGTTCTGCTTTCAACGAATGAGAATATCTGGATATAGCGAATACTTCGATACCCTTCGATATTACGTTCGATACGAATTATTACAAGAAAAAATACAGTACTTCATTTTATTTTCTTGCTTATTTTTTGTTTAATCTCGACAATGGCTTCGTGACACGTAAACTCGTTTGAAATTCTTTCAGTCTTCTAGATGCTTTTAKGGAGAATATCTTGTGATGACATCACGTACTAGTACGTACTTACTCGTATGTACTGTACCAAACAGGTTGAAAAGCAAGGATGACTGGAATCCGCATTATGACTCATGGTACTCGCACTACTAGAAAAGTAAGTACGTACCCATCGTTTGGCAGGTGTGCTGGGGGAAGAGTCATACCACGGTGCCATTACGAACCGTACTCGGACATTTTAGCTTTTTTGAGATCAACATAATCGACTCATTGGACTGATTTGGATTGAATATGCTTCATACTAATGGGTAGGGTACGATAGTATTACTGTACGTATTGTATCTTGCTGGTACGATTAGTGATTAGTGAGACTAGAGACTACTACGTACGTTTGTACAGTACCAGGTACGGTACATTACTTACGGTGGACGTGTTGCTGGGAATAATTCTCGTGCTCGTCAAGTCGTCCTTTTACCTTCTAGTCCAATAAGCACAGTCTAGTACCGGTACAACGATGACCAGTTCATCGTTACTCGTGTTGTTTTTGTTTTTACGAAGTACAGTAAAGAACTGCAAGTTCGTAGTCTAGTAGGTACCAGTACTTCTAGTACCGGTAGATCTGTAGCAATCCTCGATGAGACGAGTGTCGGGCATCTAATATGTTCCATGCGGTACCAACTTTGGCAATGGCGATCGACAACCGATTACAGTAAGCACTCGAGTGAAAAATTAACAGCATATCTCACTCGAAACCATGCCTCGATTATTTCTGAAACGAAGCCAGGCGACGTCTGGCAGTGGAACAAAATCGACTTCGACGGGAGGGTCAAGCATCACGAACCCTTTTCGTCGGCGGCGAAACAAAAAGACCGACCGATTTTTGCAGGATCGCACCAAACCGGTTCAAGGATCGGAGGCGGTCGCCGTAGAATCCCAGCGAGTGAACGCGAAGACATTTAATTACCCCGAAGTTGGATTCGAAACATGGATCGAAAATTCCCTGCTGTACACAATGATCCGAGAATCAAGCATTTTTCCAGCGGAAACAGTGCTAACAGCAATAGACGAAGAAGAGTATTCGCAATACTTTGTGCTAAACGAAAAGGAGGAGGTCAAAATGGAACGAAGCATACTTGATGACTACGATGATGACGATGATGACGTCGACGAGAACGACCTAGATGCCGATCAAAAAGAACCAGAAGCTGCAAAAGTTTCCTATGCTCAGCTTACCGCTTTGTTGGCATTGGCCGGAGAAGAATGGTCTTCCTCTTCCGAAGTTCCGCAACGGATCTGTAATGCGATTAGCAAAGAAGTCATAAAGTATGCGAACAAACACAATCTAGACCGTGAACAGGAACTAAAAGAGCTACTCGATCCGCTGATCGATTATGCCAAAGGACGGGGACGAAAACAGATGTTTCAAATGCTCCCATGGTTTGCGGCACTGACCGTTTCCACGGTAAATCCCCTTACTTTTTATGCAACGTATGTGTCAATGCTGGCTGCAAATTCGGAAAACTTGAACAAGGGCGACCGAGCAGACAAAAATACTATCGACATGGCGCAAATGGGAAACCGGCACGCCAATGTTGAAAAGGCGAGTTTGTTGGATGAAGACTATTACGACGACGACGACGACGACGGCGAGTAGTAGTGGGGGCGCAGGTCTACGGAAGAAGTGGGGAGAATGAAAGATGCAGAGAGATGCTTGAGCCGAGTAGAACGAAAGTGCACCAAGTATTTGAAAAATGTGATGGAATGCACAGAATTCACTTTGTTCCATATTTCTCATTTCCAACTTTCGAAGGGAGGAAATCTATCCTTCATTTCTCCTTCTATGTTTTAGCTCTGCAGTATTCTTTGATACATTTTATTTAATTGCTTGAGCCATCGCAACAATCGACAATGTCTCAGAACAGTAATTGACAAACAAGCCAAGATCTGCCTTTGTTCTACCTTTTTCTCCTGTGGGTATACCAGTAACATTACAGACAAAATATGACGTGACGCAAGAAGATGGAAGTATGAACAAAAGTCATCTCATCCATTTACGACGGTATTATTTGCAGCAGAAGATAATGCTAGAGTCGTAGCTTTGAAAACTTCTACTAATTCATAAATTGCTGTCGTGCATCTCCGTCCGCAATTAATACATTATATTCTTTGCTTTCTAGACAAAAGAATAACCCCGAAAGCCTAATACACCATCTATTTGCCAATGCATGGTATGTGCATCGATGATATCTGCGAGCAAGTGCTATCATAGTGTCTCAGTACGAGTAGGTACCTCATCAAACTCGATCTGAAAAACAATTTGCGTCTAAGTTACGAAATTTAATGCAACAACGCAGTTCTCTAGGTCTGTTGATGCTCTGTTGTGTACAGTCCTAATTTTCGTGGAGCAATTGTACCAGAGATGCCTTTGAGTACTCTAAGGCGAATCATCAAGAGAAACATGAGGGCCAAGAGGGATCCGGTACAATGAAAATTTTGCAAGATTCGGGTTTCGCACACGCACGCCTTGGAGTACCGAGATAACATGCGAAAGTTTGATCGAAAAGTAAGAAACTACGGTTGCCTCGATGGCACCCAAAGTGAAGCTACAAAATCTAAGAAAATGCAATTAACCTCTTGGCTACTAGTATGGTTAAGAAACAAGAACGACAACAATGAAAATCATCGGAATTGTTTGAAACGATGCGCCATTGTGCATTGCTTCCTCTCGATCTGTGGCAACCTTTGTTGAATCGATAGATTGACTACGAAACCTTAAAGMATTGGTGAAACTAATCCTATTGGTTAGATACAAGTAAGGGGTTGGGGACCCCAAGTTTATAAATGCATGTAATATGATTGGATATTTGCAGACCAATGCTTGGATAATGCGCACCAATACTCCGGTCTCAACAACCTTTCCCGTTTTATTAGATGCTTGAATCATTGCATGGCAAGAATCCGTTGCATTCCCGAGCAACCGAGCCCGCTGCGCCTTTCGTTTCTTCCATCAATGGGGTGGTTTCGGCAGCTACCCTTTCCGGTCTTCGCAGAGGACGCCGCGGTTGAGGATCGTGAGACCGGTGGCGGTGGCATGGATTGAAGGATCGCGCCCTCCCTCTGCCAGGCCCGGTCTTTCTGCGGCCGGGTCCGAGATGGTGGCCTCGATCGATACCTTGCGCCGCTCGATGCCGACGATCTCGGCCCGGACCCTCAGGAACGAACCGACCCTTACGGGCTTTTGGAGGCTGGAGTTCACCTGGACGGTGTACCCGCTCCAGGGGAGGCACTCCCCCGTGGCCAGGAAACCGATCCAACCAAGGACGTCATCCATGATGCCACACATGCTCCCCCCGTGGCAGTAGCCCTTGTGGCTCTCGGCCCGGCTCGTAAAGTGGACGATCCCGGTGAGGGTGGTGCCAACCCCGCCCCTGGCAAAGGTCTTGTAGAGGGTTTTCTCGTCGCTGTGGTGGTCCTGGSRWATGCCCCCCCCRTAGGCGACGTAGTAGTCCAGGACGCGGACGGGCGAGTCCCGGTCGTGGACCAGGTCCCTGCCCCTCCAGCCGTTGGAAGCGCGGTAGGCGCCTCCGTCGTCCTTCCATTCCGGTACCTCGAGCTTTTCTCCCCAGTCCCCGTTGTCGCTTCCGGCTCGAACCCACTCCGGAAGGACGGGATCACCGGTGGCGGTTGCGCTGGCGCCCGCGGCATCGGACCCGKGAGCCGTAGTTCCCATCTGCGGTGGCATGCTGCTGCGGGAAAGGCGGGCTTCTTGGCTCTTCCGTCGGTGGGACGATGCTCCGAATCCAATCGAAAAATCGAATCGAAACAAAGTCAGGGAGGCGATGATCCAGAAACAACCTACCATTGCGTACTACGATTGATATACTTCAGTAAACTCTCGAACGTCCATCCGAAGTTGCCAGGTTCTTGGTTTCGAGTCGGAACTTTCGTACGAGATATTGAAGAAGAACAATAAGTGTACGTACTACTGACTAAGTAAAATCGATCAAACAAATTCCAAGGAGCAATTGTTTCCACGGAAAAACGTTGGGGGCGTCATAATCTTCAGAAACCGATGCGATGACGCAACACTCCATAGCCTAAGTCGGCGGTTGTGTCGAAAGAGGAGAAGAACACGCGGAAGGCACAAAAGCCCAATCGTCAATCGTCTTGATGCCGACGAAAACACAACGACGATTCCTTGTAGTTCCTACAGGTCCTACTGTAGGTATGTATCCAACTACCGAGTCCCTATTGGCCGAAAACCGGTGGCAAATTCGTTCGTTCCGGTGCTCGTGCCCGTGCCCGTGCCCGTGCCCGTGCGTTCGTACAAGTAGGAGTACGTACGCACTGATAGTCCGACAGTTTCGTGAGTTTCGGTTTGATTTTTAGGTCCGGTCTCTTAAGTCACCCGTACGTGTGTTCGGTCTTCGGGTTCAACACAATGTAGACACGTACGTACCGTACGGTACCTCCTACGTAGTCCCCCAGTCTGTCAAGAACGATCCTTTCAAAAAACCGTTACGGGTCCGTAAGGTTCGTGCGCTACGTAGCTCGTCGTAGTTTGCTACTCCTATTGTACTTCAATTCGGAACGCTACCAGAAAATAGTAGTAATTTTACCGATGCGATCTCTTCGCTGCCGTTGCGTTGCGTACTCGTACGTACGGTAAGAGCTTCGGTAGAAGCAATATATAGTTCTTGGAAGTAGTGTTTTCGCRAACGTCCTCCGGGAGAAGAAGCAATCCACGGAAAGAGCGCCGTAGCGTACAATTCGTACCGACACGGAACGTAGAGAAGCGCTGCACGATATCGCTTCGTATCGATTCGTCTAAAATCGCACAGCAGAAGACCGATTCGTACCGTACTTCTCCCACGGTAGCATCCGGTGTTTTCTACCAGTACTCGCGTACTGTAGTACAGGTTGCCAAAAATCGCAACTACAGTACCGCACTTCTCATTTCACAAGGCGTTGCTCGATACCAACTAACAACACAAATACCACACGACACAACACAACACAAACACAATACTACATTAGGCTTTCCCTTGCTGTGTCGTTCGGAAATTCCCACCCAGTCCAACGAGCCATGAACCAAGGACAKTCAGTGCCAGCGGCGCAACCCGGTGCACGCCATGTGTCACAGAACGTGGTTGACACTTCCCGGTTGCCCCAGCCTCTCGCGAAGGTTGCGCCGAGCGTCGACGACGACGCGCAGTCGCTCGGAGTGATTGCGGCACCCGCCGCCGACGAGACGCAGGCCCACACACAGACGCAAACACAGAGCCAAACCCACCAGTCTTCGGAAATCGGCACAAACAATACCACGAACAGCGTCGCCCCCGCTCACATCCCCGTGGTAGAGGAAACCACAAACAGCAGCAGCAGCAGCAGCAGCAACAACAACAGCAGCAACAACAACATGAAAGTAGAGGCGGAAGCCGATGCCGATGACCATGCCCATGCCCATGCCCATGTCGATGAAGCGGAAAACGCAATGGACAACGAAACCAAATCCGGTGCGGGAAACGAGAGCGCCATGAGCGATGACGACGAATCGGAATACGAGTACGAAGACGACGACGATGCCGCCTTTACCGGCTTTTTGGTGACGGACAACACGTACGGAGCCGCCAGCAGTAGCAGCGGCGGCAACGAAAGCAGCAACGGGAACACCGGCAGCAACGACGCCTCTGCCTCGGGCGCTCCGGCACGGATCGTCGAGGAGGAGACCCCGGCCGCCTCGGCGGCTTCCTCGCCCACGAAATCCGCCCTCGTGGAGTCGGAAGCGGCTTCTTCTTCGGCCGCCCYGCCCCGCAAGAAGTGGCGAGAACCGTCCCGTGCCGCTGTGAGCATGTCGCTCCGGGCGCAGCAAGAAACAAGCGGAAGCAAGCGGCGGCTGGCCCAGGATCTCTATCGAATCATGAACCAGGACACCGAAGAGGCGGGCTTCTCGCTGGCYCCCCAAACAGAGGACTCGATGGAGAAGTGGACGATCAAGCTCTTTCAGTTTGATCCGGACTCCAACCTGGCGAAGGACATGCTGGTGGTTGGGATCGATCACATCAAGCTCGAGATGAAGTTTCCCGAGCAGTATCCCTTCGAACCTCCCTTTGTGCGGGTCGTCAACCCCAGATTCAAGCGGCAAACCGGCTTTGTGATGAACGGTGCCCTTTGCATGGAACTCCTCACCAAGGACGGATGGAATCCGATCAACGACATCGAGTCCGTCATCGTTTCGGTTCGATCGCTGCTGGTGGTCGGGGACGGCCGCCTCCAAGCGGCTACGGACCTGTCGAAGACCCGGTACGACACGCTGCTCGCGACCGCACAGCAAGAAAAACAGAACGGCGGGACCGGAGAACCGGAAAAGAAGAAAGCCCGGACCGATGGAGACGAAAAGAAAAAGTCGGGGATTCCCAGGAGCCAGGTTGGATCGTACACGGCCACGGAAGCCCAGTCGGCCTATTCGCACCTGTCCGACTACCACAAGAAGAAGGGGTGGGACACTTCTGGTTGGTGGGCCCGCAAGGGTTAGATAGGACAGGACAGGACAGGACAGGACAGGACAGGACAGGACAGGACAGGACAGGACAGGAAAAGACACGATAGGCTCGGTCTTGGCGGAGATACGGGAAGAGGTCCGAGCAGAGTTCGGGGCAAGGCTTCGGAATGCTACTTTTTTTTCTTTCGATTTTCACGCAGGGCACCGATGCATCTTTTAGAAACGAGTGAATCGTCCCCGTACTTTCTCCAATCAACACCAACCGCTATGCGGAAGTATTGCTGCTGGCAACGACATTATAGACATCTACAAATACGGCACGGAAACAATGGCAAACAAGGGATACTAGGCACAAAACACACAAACACACACAAAACACACTCGGGCATCCGAGGAGATGCGGGAAGCAATCCTCTCTTCGAGGTGAATTGTTAAGAGCAGCGACCGAGCGGATGATGCACTTTGCTTCCGGAGCACACAAGAGACTAACGATGTAGTAGAACGATAATAATATTATTATGACAASGAAGGCACGTTGCTACTACAATCCAAGGCGATTATTACCGAATACCACGTCGATGGAAAGGCATTTCAAAGCCATAACAGTACAGTAGTCGGCTGTGAGTTACTGCGTTCGAAAGTACTTGCACTGGCACTCCCGTACTTTGTACTTTTAGTTTCCTACACAGATCGTCGCTTTCGTCCCAATTTGGCAGTATTCATTTTTCTTTCTTGCTTGTATTCTTTTTCACTCTTCTCGTGACATGAGGAAGTGTAGCCTAGGATACGGTACGTACGTACTGTACGTAACGAACCGAAGGGCGGTGAAACTATGGGCTCCCGGCACGGCCCGTCCCGGACTRTCCGATGTCGATGTCACTGCTGCTTCGATGATGACACCAGCTTCTCCTCAAAGGCACGTACGTACCGTTACGTGCGGTATGTACCGAACGTATGTACAACCCATGCGGTGAGAGTGGCCAAACGGCGAATACAGTACGCATCGTATCGTATCGTACGGTACGTGCCGTGCAGTAGATGATCTCAACTCCGAACACATTTTCCGASTCCTTCTACTATTATCTGCTGATTTCAATTCCTACCATTGGGAAGCGTCACCAATTATTTTTCTGCATGACCGAAGAATTGTCTCAGGCATTTATTTTTTTGCCGAAGCCACCGGAAATGCTTTCCGTACAGGTTGTACTGTCCAAGAGGCCTACCGTGTTCCATTCCAACTCCAAAAATAACCTCTAGGGGGGTCAACATCTTCTGTCAACCTGCCAGAAAATCAGTCAGGCTTAAGTAATCAACATGGAAAAAATATCTCAGAGAGTAGTAGTAAAGACTATGCACATGGTAGGCGTTGTACGGTACCGTAGTACAAGTACCAGTTTTGATTGCCAGAAATCCACGCCCAACCTTCTGAAAATTCGAGGCTCTTCGTCGTACGGGGGGGGTTCCCTGGTGCCTACCTGGCGTCGCGGTGTCTGTCGCCCTCCTATGGYAYCTCATACAATGCTCTTTGTCAATCTCTGCTCTGCTGCCGCCCAGAAACGTTCCAGGGAAGAAACAGCTGCGACCCCCGATCACAACACCATTGGCTTGGCTTTRTCTGGCGCTGGTAGCCGATCCGTAACCGAACCAAACACCAAAACTCCGAAGTAAACAAGCACCAMGGGCAAATACTGTAGTTTTCACTCCAAAATGGTCCAAGGGAGCCTTGTCGAGCCTGCGACCAAACCCGCGGTTAGCASTGGACGCCGCGAACCWAGACGCGATCTGAGAGGTTCGACGAAATACAACGCGGACTTCAAGTGGAAGCACGAGAAATCGGTGGTGGGGGCACTCGAGGTCGAGACCAACCCGGAACTGGACCTCAGGGCCGAGATGATYCGGCACTGCGTTCCGGGATACGGCCCCCAGCTCAACGCATACTATGAGGTCTTCAAGGAGCTGAAACTGAGAGACGAGTTCATCAAAGCCTTCGAGAGTATCCCACCGGTGACGACCTGCTGCGGAAAAGTTACCTGCCAGGACGAGACCATAAAGAACAACGCCAAACTACTCAACAAGGGATGGGTGAAGGCAACCAACAAGAAACTCTTCAAGCACGGTTTCCGGCTGAGCATTTTTGTCTGGCGTTGGAGCAACGTAGCCGGGAAGGCAGAGACCGTGATCCCGATGATTCGCTTCCACACCCTGTCGGAACAAAGCGATTCCAAACGGCGGCGATCGCCCACCAATGCGGATTGCTAGGCAACCGCGCCTCCGCCCGCTGCTCGATCGCGGCGATCATTGTCGAAGTCGTGTTCCGGCAGTACCGGCAGGACAATTCGAAGGAAACATGCGCGGTAGTTCCGTTCCGATTGGTCGGCTCGAAACATATCGTTGCTGCTTTCTCCGAAGCTTGCATTAGATCTTAGTAATGTACATGTATAACAACATAATACTACAATATACTATATACGTATTGTAGCGTTGCGACGTTATTATTCAAAGCTATTGTCAAATCTATGCTTCAATCGTCACCTTTCCTGCGGCGAACGACTCCGACGCAGCGACCACGGCGTCAACATCGGAGCATTCCTGAGCCTGCCCCTGGGCGTTACCGGGCCGACCACCGCCTCTGCCTCCGCATACCTCCAGGGTGCCCCTCACCCATTCATCCGCTTTGAGACCGCAATCCACGAGCGATTCGGGCACCACCGCGAACGCCATGAGTTTGCCACCACTTCCTTCTTCTTCTTCGCTCAGTCCCATGAACGCCATGTCGGGCGCGATTTTCTTGACCGCATTGAGAACTTGCTGGGATGCTTTCGAGTCGGCATTGATGTCGACATTAAGGACGAGCGTTCGTGCATCCTTGGAAAGTGCATCCTCAACCTGCGTTCTCACGTCCTTTAGCACGAGATCCACACGTGCGGCGAGTGCGGCTTTCTTCACTTCGTTGGCCTTCTTCTGAACTCCTTCAATTCTATTTCGCAAGTCTGCTTTTAGTGTGGCAGAAATGAATGCAGCATCTACATCTTTTCGTGCCGCACCAGCCTTTTTGTCTAGACCCTCGGTTTTGTCATCCAGAGCTTCTAGTTCGACAACCATAGATTCGATCTTCTTGCCCTCTTCGATGGCTTCTTTTGCAGTATCCCGTGTGACAGCAGTGATCCGTCTGATTCCCTTCGCCACGGCAGTCTCTTCTACCAAAACGAAAGCCTCCGCTTCTGCTGTGTTGGCAACGTGGGTTCCACCACAAAATTCGATGGAGCAATCATCTCCCACTTGAACAACTCGAACAGGATCTGGATAAACCTCACCAAAGACAGCACGCACTCCTTCGATGGCCTGGGCTTCGGCAAGCGGCATGGTCGTGGCAGTAACCGGCAACGAATCACTGACAAYTTGTTGACAGATTTCCTCAGTCTTCTTGAGTTGCTTTGCGGAYAGAGCCTTTTTGTTGGTAAAATCGAATCGAAGCTTTTCGTCATTACAGAGACTTCCTCTTTGATCCACATTATCCCCCAACACTTCACGAAGTGCAGCATTGAGGACATGAGTCATTGAGTGATTCGGTGTCACGAGTCTTCTTCGTTCGTAATCAACTCTGCAGTCGACATGGGCCCCACTTTGGAAGCTTCCTTCGGTGACAACACCGGTATGAAGGAGATATCCTCCAAAGGATTGGACATCACGGACTTCAAAACTACCAACGGAATTTCCCTCGGCGTCTACTAGTCTAAGCACACCAATATCGGCTTCTTGTCCTCCGGCTTCGGCGTAGAAACTGGATTTATCGAGCACGATTCCAACAAAGTCACCGGCYTCGGCAGCTTYGTCTTCTTTGTAGAAACCATCAGCTCCGAAAATGGACATTACAGTTGCTGGAAGTTCTACATCCCATTTGTACTTGAATCCGTCGTCGGTAGGGAGTACATTGTTGTCCGCCAACGAGGAAGTCTGCTCGGCAATTAATTCCAATTGAGGTGCACCACCCGACTTTGCAGCAGCGCGTGCAGCCCTGGATCGATTCTTTTGTTCTTCCATCTCATTGGCAAATCCCTTCGAATCCAATGTGAGACCAGCTTCCTCGGCCATGAGTTCGGTRAGGTCAATTGGGAAACCAAGGGTGTCGTAAAGATAAAATGCTTTCTTCCCAGGAACTTCGGACTTGCCGTCAGCTTTCAGTTCTTCCTCAAGCTCCCCGAAAAACTTGATTCCTCGATCAAGCATGGTAGAGAAGGCAGCTTCTTCCTCGGCAATAATTTCGGTGATTGTTGCTTGATTTTTGACCAATTCAGGGTAAGCCTCTCCGAAGGTCTCGACTACAACAGGGATCAACTTTTGAAAGAAACCAGGTTCGGCCTTCAAAATCTGTTGACCGTATCGAGTAGCACGTCGCAAAATTCGTCGCAAGACGTATCCCCTTCCCTCATTGTTTGGCACAGCGCCATCCGCAATTGCAAATGACAGCGTTCGGATGTGATCAGCAATGGCACGATATGCCGTATCTTTCAGAGTCGCATCTTCTTCACCCAGTTTTCCTTCGTATGATCCTACTTTTGAATATTTTTCCAGTTCATTAAAAATAGGGCCAAACACGTCCGTATCATAATTCGAAGACTTGTCTTGCAAGATAGCAACCAATCGTTCAAGACCCATGCCGGTGTCGATATGTTTTTGTGGTAATGGCGCAAGGCCCTTTTCGTCTCTATTGTACTGGATGAAAACAATGTTCCAAATCTCCATGACATCCGGATCATCTGCATTTACCAAAGCACTTGCATCACGGTTACCAATTCTGTCATAGTGGATTTCACTGCAGGGACCACATGGACCGGTATCTCCCATCTGATGTCACGAACAAAAAATGAYGCGATGAGAAAACATTATGAATATGCAACAAACGAATTTTCAAGAACAAAYGGCAACTGATCATTGAAACGAAAAAACATCCAAACACTTATCCTCCACATACCTCCCAAAAGTTGTCCGCAGCTTCACATCCAATAACCCGGTTTTCTGGCAAATACTTCAACCAAAAATCTCTTGCTTCCRTGTCCATTTCAACATTGTCGTCACCTTTGAAGTAAGAGGCATAAATTCTTTCTGGGTCAAGCTTGTAAACCTCTGTCAACAAGATCCAAGCCATATCGATGGCTTCCTCTTTGAAATAATCTCCAAACGACCACGAGCCAAGCATTTCAAAGAAGGTATGGTGATAAGTATCTCGACCTACATCTTCTAAATCRTTATGCTTTCCACCAGCTCTGATRCATTTTTGCGAATTGGCGGCTCGTTTGAGACTTGCTAGAGGACTGTTGGGATCCGCTTGCCCCAAAAATATTGGCTTGAATTGATTCATTCCAGCGTTCGTGAATAGAAGTGTAGGATCATTCAATGGAGCGCAGGCAGAACTAGGTTGCATCGTGTGATCCCTTTCTTCAAAAAATTCGACGAATGCGGATCGGACCTTGTCGGTTGACCATTCCTCTGCTGTCGTAGATGACGACATGTACCGACAAGTATCTGCACCGGAAGCACGGAACGCATGTCGGACCGGGACAAATGCCCTGATCGATCTTGTCGCAAGCGCCAGAATCATCGTTGAGGTGAGAAGGCAGCGCATCGTATTCAGCGCAAGAAAAGAGGCGCAACACTTGTTCGTTTTTAAAACTTCAAAACACCTATTGTCAACGATATTCGTACGAGTTGATTGAATATCAATGGTACTATTGAAAGAGATTTGTTGAAAATACTACTTCGYAGCGGGCGTTTTGGAAGAAGAGGTTGAAAATCTTGAATCGAGATGATGTGGAATGAAGTTGTTAGAGATTCTGAGACGGCGATGATGTGTGATGGAATTCGAAGTTTCACMGGATGCGCAGTCGTTTTTGTTGCGATGAGAATGACGTTGTACGAACGATTTTGACGTTTGACGTACCGACCGCAAAACCGATTCACGAGTATCTAGTGATTGAAAATACGAAGCAACCCTTCATCGGCAAATAGGTCAAGTTTGTTGAAATTGTGAAATATTGATGGGTGAGCTCTTCAGTGATATGATACCTGATCTAGAATAAGAGTGAGATTGTTTACTAGCTATTCAGGATTCAGCCCTCGTAGTAATGTCTTCTTCCTACTCGTACAAAAAGGAGGAGTAGGAAGAGGAAGCAAGAGAGGAGGAGGACGAGACCTGCTGCTCGACAATATTATTATTCTTCTACTACCGCATGCAGGTGATATTCTCACAGTCTGGAGAAAAGAAGGCAGCGTACTACACGGGATTGGGTTCAGTTTATCATGGTTGTACTACATGGGGGATTTCTACTGCTGGTGCTTCCCCACTAAAACTAGTAGTGGACCTTCCCCTGCAAGTTCTTGTCGAGGACTAAGCTTTCTATGGCATTACATTCGATATAATCATGATAAACTAATGACATTGTCAGCAGGTAGGTTATCCTCCCTTTGAAGACAATCTTTTTTGTCATTTTTCGTGTACGCGGTCGAAATGGTGTTGCTCTATCAGCATCTCCGGTACACAAATATCCGGCGGACAATCAAGCATGAATTGAATAATCGTGGCAATCCTTGACGCTGGCGGATAACCATCGGTATTGCGACTATCTCCTGCTTTCTCAAAAATTTTTGTATCGACCGATGGTGGCATCACATTCATAACTCGGGTTTTCCCTGCGAGCTCGATGCGCAAAGTATCGACAACGGACCTCAATGCGGCTTTTGTAGCACTCTGCAAGCCATAGGGACTGCGCGCCTTTAGGGCGAGGCTAGCAGTGCACACTAGAATCTGACTGTCCCCTGCCACCAGCTTTGGTAGGATTGAGCGAACCAAATGGATCGTAGAAACACAATTCAGATGAAAATGTTCTGCAACAACATTTTTGCAGTCATTTTCCTCCGAACTGATAGGTATGATATCGGCTATTTTTCCAGAAGTGAAAGTCCCAATAGTGAGGACAAAATCATGGATGGAGTCGTCTCCAATTTTGGCAACCGCTGTGCTAATTTCATTCAGATGAGTAATGTCGCATGGGATTTCGATGACCTTTTGGCTTGATTTTTCTGGCATTTCGTCGTCGTCCCTTCTTTTGCACAACCGACGAACTCGCGTAAAGTCTCGACCCAGAATGTAGAATTCTGTGTACTTTGATCGGAGCAATTCTGAAGCCAGCAGAGAAAACCCGATACCATCAGTACCACCGCAAATCATCAACCTCCGCAATCCCGTACCCATTTCCGACGGATGCGGCTTCGTCTTATTATCAATCGATGGTTTCGAATTTGACATGGTTGTCGAGGAGAGATCGTATTAAATCAAAACTGACGAGATCTCCTTTGCTGATCAATCCTCCATGGCATAACTTTCAAGTACAGAGTAAAGACAAGRTTCCAGAAAGTATCGTCGTACTACTGATGTGTGATCAAACACTTTTTCTGTTGCTTTTGTTGAATCAGAGACCACGCCCTGTTTCGACAGTTTTTTGTTTTCCCCTTCCTGACATCTTGTACCCGGAAAACCTTGGATTGCGAAGGAGGGTTTGGGAAAATTGAATTACTCCTGTTTCTGACACTTATGAGTACTGTACGAACGTCCAGTAAAACTAATCCTGTACCGTAAGGCAGGGGTCATAATTTAGAGGGGTGCGCAACGCATCGAAAACTCATATTCCATCTGTGGTACCAATAAGAAAATTTTAACCCCAGGGATTTTTTTCAATTTCATTTTTACTGCATAATACTAGTAAATCTATCCAACCTTTAAGCAGTAACAACATTATCAAAAATACTACCATTAGAATTTTTGAGAACACTGTCTAGCCCAGTTTTTAATGCTGATTCTGAATATGCCAATATTTTCAGTGTCAAATGGAATGATAGTGTACCTTTCCACTGTTGAATATTGACTAGATTATTAGTAGAAATTACTACTGGGGAATAAGTGGGAGAAACGGATGAAGGACAGACAGTTCGAATTTTTGCTAAGGACTAGACTGGTGGGACTGACTGGACAAAGGACAGATTATTTCTACTGTAAATACAGTACTAGTCTGTACTAGCCTGTTACTATCACCAGCCCTGTGTCAGCACCTTAATGTTTAAACTGCAGACAGCAATAACAGTGAAAATATACTTACTACTTGACTCTCAACTATATGAGAGATGTGTATGTGAAGTTTGAAAATTAGAGAGTGATTAGAAGTGTTCCTGTGCATGGGGTCTTTCAGGTACACTTTTTGCAGTGATATGCAGTAAAAATGAAATCGAAAAAAATCCTTGGGGTTAAAATTTTCTTATTGGTACCACGGATGGAATAGATTTTTTTTCGTCCTGATGCTGAAAAACGTGCGCGTTGCACACCCCTCTAAATTATGACCCCTGCCGTAAGGTACGTACATCAATCTGAATTGAAACATCAAACCGTAAATAAACGTACCGAAGTCTACCGGTACGAAACCAGAGTTCTGTACTTTAAAATTAAAATTTGATTGTTTTATTTACTTTCCTCAAGACCCTCTCCTGAAAATGAGGATTCGCCTCCGTCCACTGCAACACGGCGTTTTCTCTAGTTGAAGGGTTTCGGGAAGATGCCTGGGAGGAAGGTGCGTTGCTGTTTGGAACTGGTATCCAATGCCAACGGAATGTTCCATCGTCGGAAACGTACATCTATTTGCTACTCACATCAGCACCGGACACAACGTCCACTAAAGGCACCGGGTTGTAGGAAGGCGACAGTGCCGTCCAGCCAGTGTGAGGTGGGTTTTTGTCGTCTCCCGGCGTTTTGGGCGCCACAAACACTCCGTTGCCGTCGGGCTTGTCGATCCACCACTGGCCGTCMGCCTTGTTGAGATATATGTAGGCCTCATTGGTGGCTCGCAACCACGGTTGTCCGTTGTTCAGCATGTTCCACGTGCTTTGGACTCCCCAGCCGTTCTGCAGGCAAACCTTTTCGAATCCGGGTGGAATGGTCGCTGCATCGGTCCATTCGTACTCCGTGTTGACGCTCTCGACCCCGGATCCTTTCACTCGCAGCGGGGACGCCCCAGATGCCGTGCTGCTAAATGCGGCAGCGGTTGCGTGAGACATTGTCMTTGGGTTCCGAAACGTGTTTGTCAAAAAAGTTATCGAGATCCAAAGAGAGGGCGACAATTTCATAACGGAGAATAGAATATGGTATTCAACGTTGCTGCAGCTGTATGGTAGTGAGTTTCGTTCTCTTCGGAAATTGCAACCTGGTGCTACCAGAGATGGATCGTCGTAGAGGTAAGATCTTACTACAATTGACTTCGTCCATCGAATCGAACTCCAACAATCGTGCTGTGCTATTTGATCGAATCTGGCCTGAGTTGGCTGCTCATCATGAGTAGACAATGGAAAGAAATATGGAAAGTCGTAAAAGGTCTTCGTACGGCTTCCGACCACATCAGACGCGCTTTACGTGCACGACTGAAAAACTCCCAAATTTGATGTTTTTGTGTACTATTCTTTCTTGTTCTTTAAATGAAGAACAAGAAGGACAAGCAAGAACAAGAAGACAACRAGAAGGTTTTCATCTTTATTTCTTCTGGTTTGGATGCACACAGAAGAAATACTCTGACAAAATTCTCTTTGTTTTTCATGAAGATAGACATAGTACTAAAGAATCATGTTCTTGTTGGCCACCACCAGCAGCAGCAGACAGCAGATTTCCTTGTTCCCCCTCCTGATCTTGTTGTTGTTGTTGTTGTTGTTGTTGTTGTTGTTGTTGTTGTTGTTGATAGTAGCGTGATGATTTGTTGTCCTTCTTCTTGTGGTCCTTGGTAGTAGTAGCTGGTGGTGTTGATAGCTTACTGAGTAGTAGTGTTGCTGATACTGTTGCTGGAGATGAACTGTTGCTGTACTACTGTAGTGTTGCTGATGAGAGTTTTGAGGGTTGCTGATGATGAGTGCCAAGGGGGGGGGGGGGAACAAGTAGATATCGGTTGTCAGAACGAGAAGCGCTTCCACCACTGCAATTATGGTACTAGCTTCAGCACATGGTTGTGTGAACTCCTCTGTGTCTGACAATTGACAACAAGTTGCCTTGCTGCTATCAGCATCATGAAGGATCAGTATTCTTGGTATTTTAGGTCAGCCAATATGTTATTTCCCTTGCATCGACTGACATCAAGACAAAAATTCCATAGAAAAAATGGTGTAGTTGAACAAGAAGAATTTGTGATGTCATTAGGCGCATTTGACATCATGATAGTATCATTTTACATGGGAAATACGTAGCCCAAAATGTAAGACTGGTTTGTACTACTACTACTACTACTACATGTGGGCGCCAGCAACTCTCCTTTACGATATTAGGGCTCCTCTGCTGTTGAATTTCAACTGAAAAATTAAGCATGATGTGATCATGAAGAAATAATTCAGTGTGCTGCTGGGAACCTCTGGAGTATGTTGTAGTGGTGGGGCAATCCATGTTTTACAACAAATTCGTAGCACCAGCAGTACTAGTAGTAATGAATTCTCCTCTACTAGTACTTTGCCAGGTTTTGGCGCTAAGCTAGGCTTTCTCAAAAACTAACCKAGGGACCTGTTGCAACCTGATTGTCCTCTGTCGTTCTCCAAAAATAGCCCCTTTCATTGGATTCCGGTTGGAGTGTTTGCTCGGATTTGGCGCGATCAATMAGCTGTGACCTATTTTTAGGGCCGGGCGCGATGAGAGCCTAATTCTCCACCATTAAGGAATTTTCTCGTTCGGTTGTTCCAACACATACATTCTAACATTCTTCATACGGTACATCGTTCCGTGCGTACGRKTACTCGTACCGGGGTCCCGGAACTCGTACACGATCGCGCAGTATTCTTCGAGTTATTAGAAACAAAGCACGTGATTTGGCCTCACAGTCACATCAGAAATTAATTTGTGCCTTGTTCCTTGTTCGGTATTCGTACCGGTAGTACTTTGACCGCAAGGTAAATTGATGGGAAGATTTCAGTTCATTACCGCACCGTACGTATCGTACTCGTACGGCACGTACGATAGAGTAATTCTTAGCCGAGTTTTTCGCTTCACGCTACGCTGGATACGTTTCCGTGTGTTCTGTCTGTTCCAGAGCGTGAGCGTGACATTCTCTAGCGTACGGTACGATTGTTKCCCTACGAGTACGAGTACGGTTCTACTGCTTGAAAGTGACCAGAGCACCCCAACACTTTCGGGGTCCGCAAAGTCCCAGAGACAACGGTTCAAGCCGCCGATAGTTCGACGAGGAGCACAGGAGAGCAGTTTGTGCTGCTGTATCTCGCCGTTCCACGCTAGTACAACACCCCTGTACTGCCGTTGCATATTTGCAAGCACTGCCCCCGTTCTCGTCGGTTCTGTTCCAACACACCACACGACACGACACGACACGACACCACACCACAGCGCAGCTCCTGTCCACCCCCGCGATCGCGATGTCCTCCCGCCACTCTGCTCTGGCATCGTCGCTGGTCGTCGCCGTGGCGTTGTCCTGCTCCGCGTATTGGTGGAACGACCTGATCCACAACGAGGCCATCCAGGTCCTGGCACTGACGATGGCTTCGATCGTGGCGGTGGCGGTGGTGGCCATCGTCCTGATCTGCATCCCGGAGTTTCTGAGCGGCAGCGAACGCGGAAAAAAGTCGCGTCGCAAGTCACGCCACCGGGTGCCCCACCGGGACCGGGAGCGCGGTCGTCCCCGGCACCGGCAGCACCACGGCAGCAACAGCAACAGCAACAGCAACAGCAGCCAGCGCCCGACGTCCAGTCGGTCCAGTCGGTCCAGCGAACGACTCAACCAAAACGAGTATCCATCCTCGTCGCCTTCGTCGACGTCCTCGCTGAACTCTTCCACCTCGTCTACCGCTACGAATTCTTCGAGGCAAAAATATCCTTCGATGCCACCGCTGCCGATTCGATCCAGGGCCAAATCCATCAGCAGCAGCAGCAGCAGCAGCAACAAAAACAAGAACAGCCCGGCCGCAAACAGCAGCAGCAACAACAGCAGCAACAACAACGCCGTCGACCGGGTCCCGGGATCGATGCACACGCAGCGACGCTCGCCCAGGCGCCATTCCCTGCCGCCCTGCCTGCCGTCCCAGGCCTCGGTGTCGCTCTCCCAGTACTGCCTGAACCCCATCGTGGAGCGCAAGCTGGAGGACCTGATGGATTTCGATGACTACTGGTGGAGGGAGCTCGACAGCCGGACCCAGTACTACGCCCTCATTCTGGGATACACGGAAGGCACCTGGGACGAGGACCTGAGCCTGGACGATCTGCCCTGCGAAGACTGGGATTGGGACGAGATGACCAACGAACAAAGGTCTGCGGCCATACATTTTGGATATTCCCAGGATACCTGGGAAGACTGATTAAGAGTTTCTTTCCTAGAATCGATGGTCGATTCGATTCGATTCGATTCGATTCGATTCGATCCGTTCGGTGAGTGACAGAGTGAGCAATTGATCGGGCGATCGAATCACTTCGATTGCCCTGCTCGCTCTCGGGTGAAAGGTTTTGCGCGGATCCAAGAACAACAAAACAAACCCAGCACAATCACGCCCCCAAGATGACTCATCGGGCAATTGTGTGGGCGACAGAGTGGTTCGATGCACTGCACGGCGTCGCACACTCCGTCTAGACGTGCTCTCTCTCTCTCTCTCTCTCTCGGGTTGCAACTATTGGGCACTATGTCTCTGTCGAAAAAGGTTGTCGATCGATCGATCCGCTCTGTTGGACCAAAACGCGCAAAGAATTTGGATCCATCGCACGGGGTTTCAGGTTTAAGAATTCTTTCATTCGATCGATTATCTCCAACAACTTTTCGCGTGCAAGGCTCGATGAGAAAAAAAAAGAGGAAGTCCGGTATACATTTCTGCGCAATGGCGCTTCGTGTTGTTTGGCACGATGCAGGATGCACGCCGTTATCCTTCCTTGTTGTATGTGGATAATACGAGAAATGTACCAGATATCGACCTCTTTGAACTAGAATTGGCCATCTACGAACGACGAGGTAAAATGCGACAAATTTAGCACTTCTGCTTTGAGCAGACACATCTTATGATGAATACAACTAAAATATAGTGCACTACATTTTTTTCTCAATGAAACATATGCGCTTTCGTATATCTGTGCCATACATTTCATTTCCTGTTTCCCCGTTTCAAAATGACTGGTGGATTAATTTCCTGATTTCCTGATGTGTCTATTGGGCATCGAGCGGCTGCCGTGTGTATGTGGTAAAAGATTCAATGGTCGATGATCGGTCGATGATCGATTGATCCATTCAATTGCCAACTGACTCGCCGACTCATCCACGATCAGAGATATAGTCCTGAAGGATCGATTGCCCTTTTTGTTTCCATTCACGTTTATTGGCAACGACAGCGTTCAAATAGACATCAATCGTTTTGTTCAAAACTCCCGACTCCTTGAGCTTCTTGGCCAGAAGTATGCGGCCTTCAAACAACTCCAGTTCCKTCTCGTACCAATCCAGTGATGGATCCTTATTTTCCTCTCCCGCATCAGCCGTCCTCTTGTAAGCGATATAGAGCTCCTTGAACAACAGCTTGYTCCATTTTTTGAAGACATAAAAGTGCTGCAAAGAATGAGAGATTCTCGACGCCTCAAGCAGCTGTACGATGATGACCATTGTTTTCTTGCTAGCCTCCTCATCGTAGTGGGAACACGACATGTTTGTGTTGGAGGGCAACTCCGTTTCAGCATCGTTATCAGTGACAGCAGAAGACGTTCTTTTTCTCATTGCCGACATGCTTTTGGCCAAGAGACGGCGGAAAAAGTCAAGATCCTGTTGACTCTTGCAGAGACACAGGCGAAGATCTCGAAAGGCCGGGTCCATCCAGAGATTCCAGACGCGCTGTATACTCTTTTGCCCGGGAGTGAGTTTCTCTTCCTTGGTGTCCTGCTCGCCGTCGGCATCATCGTCGTCGTCATCGCCATCGTAGACGAGAGTTACAAAGACCAGCACAAATTGCGTCATAGGATGGGTGAGCATGGATTTTGTCTTTGCCAGTACTTCGAATGGCTCATGTTGTGCTCGGGTCACATCGTCCTTGGGTTTGGTGGTATTGGTGTCAATTGCTGCAAAAAGCTTCGTCATGGAGAGAACGGAATGGCTGGTATGCTGGAACGAGTGAAAGGGTCGATCTTCTCGATAAAAGTTGGCTACTCTCGACACCAGCTCACGGAGCTGGTCCACGATGTGGGAATCGGCATCAGACAGCCTATCAACATTTCTCTTGCCACGACTGCCCTGCGAGGCAAACGATACGTGTTCGGTTGGAAAGATGATAATCTCATTCATAGTTTCTCCAGAAAGAAAAGGATCGATGCTTCCAAATTGTTCGTCTTCGTCGAGAGCGATTTGCTCTTCACCCTCGAGCAGGGCAGCGTTGCTCTTCCTATTACTATTGTGTCGCATCGATGTCAGTTTTTTCATCAAACCTGCTAGGATATTGGTGTGGTAGTYCACCAAACGTTTTCTTTTTTGGATTGGATCGATGGCCTTTTTCTTTTTGATAAACCCCGGATCGATGTTGGCTTTGGCCATCATTTTCAGAATTGCCGGCAGGGCCAGCTTTTCCTTAGCGCTGAGATTCTTGGGTCCCTCGGTTGTGAGCCAGTATGTCTGGAGCTCGCCTTTTCCCTTTGTACAGGAATCGAAGAAGAGGAAAAAGAAGGAAATGAACACCATGATTGAGATAAATGGATGTATTGTAACGGTTGGCTCTAGTAGCCTAGGGAGCGCAAAAGATAGGAAAAAGATACAAAACAGCCCGTTTCTTGGATCCTACCTTGGCAACAATTTTCTCCTCTCTTGGTATGATCCACGGTCTCTTCCCAGCCGCAACTATGAGGTCGGCGGTTTGCTCTGACAGATGGATCTTGTTCTTCTCTGATGATGACTCGATGCGGCTGGCCGTGTTGATTGTGTCGCCAAAGAGCTGGTATCGCGACTTGGCACCCCTCAGCACGCCCCCAATGACGCTGCCCGAGTGTATCCCAAAGCGCATTCCCAGGTCTTCCGTCCCCGGTCCAAGATTGGTCGTTGGAGAGCTGACGAAATCCAGCATGCTTTCGAGGCACCGGCGGGCGAAACTGGCCATGACCACCGCATGGTCCTCCATAGCATTGGGGAGTCCGGTAGCGGCAACGTAACAGTCCCCGATGGTTTCAACCTTGAAGACACCCTTCTTTTTGGCAATCTCGTCGAATCGGCCGTACACTGTCTMGAGCAATTCGAAAACTGGCATATCCGTTGTGTGAGAGGGAAGTTGTTTGGAATTGATTTGCATTGTATTCGATGGTCACATATAGCGATCACAAAAGACAATCAAGCAAAGTAATAGAAGAATCGTGTTAGCAATATTCGACAAAAGCAAGCAACAAGCTATCAAACCATGGCTGCACGATTCTCACGCGTAAGAAAAATGCATGCGATTTGGTGTGCTGTGCCTACCTTGTGCCGGATCGCGAATACTCGCCCAGCTGGTAAATCCCACAATGTCGGCAAACAAAATGGTAGCACTCGGAAAGTAGTCCGCGATGGGTTTGGAACCGTAGGACGAGATTGACAAAGGCGAAATTGCTGCTGCTGTCTGGGGCGAAGACACCACCAAATTGGAATGAATCGAACCTGGATTCGTTCCCGCTTGGATGCCAGAAAAATTACAATGGCTGTTGCTGTTATTACTTCCGTCGCTATTGCTACTGTGTTGCTTGGAAAGGCTGTACCGGCGGTGGTTGTGATTACTGCCACTTTCCATGAAGGAATGGCAATCGCCGTGGCTACTCTTGTCGGTCAAGAACGTTGAGAAGGAAGCGGTCGATGCGATGGATGGAATGCGCCTCGGTGGTTGTGGCGACGGAGAAGTCTTTCGCAAGGGTGGCAATGGCACAAGCTTCGAATTGGAATGCTCAATGAATTGGCTATCGCCACCTTCGTTGTCGGCTTCAACCGTACAACCCATCCTTTCCTTGGAACAAGCAAAAGCTGGCACCACGTTCGCTTTCGAGGCTGGATTGGCGCTCCCAGTCATCAGGTTTCCCTCTTCCATGATGCGATCGCGAACAATCTCTGGAAAGAGGTTGTCGACGATAGCTTCAGAGCGATGGATCTTGTCGATCAGCAGTTTCTCGGTATTCCTCACCTTGGTCTCATAATTCCAAAAAACAAGCCCAAGAACCCCAATCAACGGAAGGATCGCCATGGAATAAAAGACATTTCCCGTCACAAACGATACTAGGACCAAGATTGCAGATAACACCAATAGGCCTGCAATTAAGTACTTGAGAAACCGCTTGATCGGTGCGTTCTGTGTCAGGTGCTTGTAGTTCTGGTTTTTGTTTTGGCTGTTGCTATTGCTTTTGCTGTTACCGCAAATGGTATTATCGTCACCATAGGTACAATAGCCCTTGCTGCTGCTCTGAATGGACTTTGTGCTCTGCCCCCGCTTGCTGTTGGTATGAAAGGTTCCTGTAGCTTGAGAGGAACCAGCAAAGGAAACAACGTCGTCGATACAGATGCTCTCGTCCCTGCTGTTGTAAGTATGCTTGTGCCCGTCATCGAGATTGCTCGTGTTCGGCCCAACGCTGACAAAGGAGTCAAAAAATGGATGGTGGTGATCGTTTGGTTCTGCGTCGGTGTGTTCGTGGTGGTTGCTTCCGCCGAGAGAGATGGAGCCTTCCTCTTCGTCTACAGTGAGCGCAGAAGTACCAGAGGTATTGGTATGCGTAGCGAACCGCTCCGTGCCTGTAATGCTCTTCATTGTAACTTACCCCTCTTGATGGATTGATTGCAGGCTTGCTTGTTTATGATGCACTTGCAATAATATGGGAGGTCGAAAGGATTCCGTTTGGATTCGAATAGAGTTTATCGAATTATGTGAACAACTGGTGTTCGCATCAAAAGTACCGAGGGTTATGCATGTGTGTGACTGATGTTCATTTCTTATCAGGACATTACGTGTGATATGCGAGAGAATCATTATCTTTCAGTAGTTACTGTTGCTACGCACACGTATGGAATAGTACATCCTTTGGTAATGCATACAAAAACTGCCGTATCAGTTGTGTAATTTGTGTTGCCTTGGCCGATTCAGTTTGGAACAAACGTGCAGTGGGTGGGAGATTCTGTCGGAACCACAATCCGAAGACGACCGACTTGCGAAGAACGAGCATGTTTGTATGTTCGGTTCTGGGCTTTGGCGTATTGGCTTTTAATACCACATGGATATGATGACATTTTGTTCTACCGGTACTCCCACAGAGTTCCATAATTCTTGTATTTAGTGAATTCAAGTTGAAGGTGATTTTATGGATCGGCCAACAGACCGAGAAGCAACGCTGTATGGCGCCRTCGGCTTCTTACCTCGGTACGATGCTGTTGCAATATTGAAGTAACATTATCGCTTACGGTACTACTCGTACTATTGAAATGCAAGAATCGCGTCGCGTCACGGCCGACCCCGCTTCATTCACACTTGATGCCAGCGGATCCATAAGTGCTGTTCTGTTTACCGTTACAACCGTACCGGTACAGAACGAAGAAATGAAGAAAGTAATAATTTTACGAGCACTTAGGCACGTTAACGCCGACTACTGGTACAGAAAAATAAGTGAAATTTACGATGGAATCACTCGATTCATTACGACTTAGAAATTGATCATCATTTTTGACTCAATCGACTCTTAGTGAAGAATCATAACCGTCGAATTTTTATTTTGTACAGTGCACGATGTACATCAGACTGGTACCACCCGTAAAACAGGGACAAAAATCATTTTGTTTCGTTTTACGGTACACCGAAAAACAACCGTTAAAGCAGTTCCGCGACCAAATAACCAATGTCATTATGATCTCTCACATATATCCGTTACACAGGAGCAGCTCGTCTTCGCTGATTGAATACGGTTTGATGCACTAGGAAAAAATGAGAAAAAAATTCCGCACGCGTTTGCATCGAATCAACGCCAACACCTCCCGAGGCAGCGTACCTACCGGTAAGATTCAACACGAGCTTGCTCTGTTACTGATGATTTTCGTTTACGGTATGGATAGGTATCGAACGAGTAGTACTCGTACGACAAACAGCAATTTGCTTTCTTCTACCATACGTGGCTACGTACCTCATTGGTTTAGCTCTGCAGTTCTTGTCGCTATCGAACTCGAATTCTCCACAGCATCAGAACTACAGTCTTGGTGAATCTATCATCTATGTGTATCAAGCATACGCAACCAATCACACCACTGAACTAGCAACAAAGGAACAAAAATATAAGACCCTTTTCACGAGCGGTAGGAAGGGAAGACAAGGTTTCCCCAGAGGACAAGGGTCTAGTGAGCTGAATATCCTTGACTCGAGAGATCGCAAAATTTAAACGAAAATAGAAACGGGACTCTCAAAGACTGTTAGCTGGCATCTCCTACGCAACTAACAAGATGACCACTCGAATAACAGTAACTCGGTCGCAGACCCAAGAGGAAAGCGTAGACGAAATAACACTAAATCGGTCGACCCAAGAGGAAAGCGCAGACGAAATAGATACAAAGAATACGACAACCACTACCATCACGGAAGAGCCACCGGCGGAGTCACCCGAAGCCGATGAAGGGAGCGAAGCCGACAACGTGTGCGATGCCGATGCCGAGAAAGAACCCGAAACAGAAATTGAAGTCGGAACTACCARCGGTGACGACGACCACGGGCAAGAGGCGGAAATGCAGGCAGAGCCCAAGGAGAAATCCGAAAAGCCTGCTTACATTCCTGGGATGTTTGTGATAAACAACACAGAAACGGCAGCCGAGGAGGAGGAGAAGAAAAGCGAGACATCACCCGACGACGTAGGTGGAGAAGCAAAGTCACCCGCCGAAGAAGGCGGAGAAGCAAAGACGGACTCGGGGGTTGAAACACCCAATGTTCGAAAGGTACGTACATGAACAAACATTCAAAGTTCGCGGCTATGGATGACAATAGCTGTACGACTGATGAAGTGAAATCAAACAAGAAAAAGGTGAAGGGTATGCCTCGGAAAGCGAATAAAACTCATTCTGTTTCACAACTGCACTATAACATTCTCTTCTGCAACACAACTTGCCAATACACGTACTTGGACCACAAATAAATTCAATGAATCCTTTCACCTCATGGAACATAGGAGCAACTCCTTTTCAATCAGTTGTTCAGCACGCGACGACCGAAAGATGGTTGGGCAGGGTTGGGAAGTGGCATCAAAAGCGTAACAAAAGGGACCGTTGCGGGTATAGCATCTCTTATTGCACAGCCGATGGTTGGTGCGAAACAAGGTGGCGTTGCTGGATTTTTTACTGGGCTGGCTACGGGTGTTGCCTCGTGTGTGGCCCTGCCTGCCACCGGTGTCTGCGTGGGAGCCTACCAGGTGGGCAGAGGAGTTTATAATTCAGCGGAGGCGATCAGTTCATCGAACAAGGGCATGGTATGGGACGAGAAAAAAAGAGAATGGTATCACTACAATCTAGATGATGATGTTAGAGAGGTAGAAGAGCTCGCAGAAGAACGCAAAAGGAAAGGAGAACAGACCGGATTCAACTCAGCTGACGGGCCAGAACGCACCGTAAAAGATCGAACCTATTATGATCTTATGGGCGTACCAACGAATGCATCTCAGGGAGAAATCAAAAAGGCCTACTACGTWAAGGCGAGAAAGTGCCACCCCGACAAAAACCCAGGAGATCCTACTGCCGCCAATCGATTCCAAGAGCTGGGCCACGCCTATCAGGTACTTGCCAATGATCAAAGCAGAGCTGCATATGACAGAGATGGATTGAGCATTAACGACGACAAGAACCAGAAACTGCACATGAGCGATATCGATCCATACATATTTTTCGCTGTCATGTTTGGCGCCGATTCTGTCAAACCATATATTGGAGAACTGTGGATTGCAGACAAGGCCGAAATGTTTCTGAAAGACTCAAAAATGGCGCAGGAACTAGCTACCACCATGCAACAACAAAATCAAGGGGACGAAGCTAACGCAGCAGCGGAAGCTGRAAAAACACCCGATGTTTTTCAAGCACAGAGAGAAGAACGGGTGCGCCTTATGATGGAAGAAGACGAATTCTTGCAACGAAGGCGAAAGGTTACGATTGCAACCAACATGAGGAAAAGAATAGAGCCCTACATCACCGGAGACGAAGAGGAAGACAACGAAGAGCAATTCGTCTTGTCGTGCCAAGCGGAAGCAGCCCAAATCTGCAAATCTGCCTTTGGCCATGTTTTTTGCAGTGCGATCGGAAGAGCTCTGGAACTCGAAGCAACCGAATTCGTCGGATTTGCAAAGAGTCCCGTGATTGGTAGCTGGGATGCCCATACCGCTGGATTTCAAAAACGAGCCATGACTCTGAAAGACAACTACCGAATTTTCAATGCCGGAATATCGGCCGTCCGGGCCGGAAGCAAGGCGATGAAGCATGTCGAAAGCATTCAGAAGCAAGCCGAGGAACAATCTTCGCTCCCTGGAGGCGGCATCGGTGGAGCTTCGCCGATGGATACCACTCAAGCAAAAGAGACCATGAAGAAGTTGGAGGATACGTTACCAACCATACTTGAGTTGGCTTGGGCAGTCAATGTAAGGGATATTGCAAAAACGTTGAAGGATGTATGTCACAAATTATTCAATGATACGAGTGTAGAGGTAGAGGTGAGGATGAAGAGAGCAGAAGCCGTTAAAATACTCGGCCGAGAATTTTATGCCATTGGCAATGCATGTGAATCGATAAAACATGTCACCGACAACGGAGACAGCGCAGAGGAGATCAAGCTTCGTGCCGAAATTGCCGCCATGACCACGCTCGCGAAAGCGCAGGGGCAAGAGATTAGCGAAGAAGATGCGGAATACATGATTCGTCAGCAAAGAAAGATGAAAGAAACCGAACGTACAGCAGGATCGTCTCCCCTGTGATCATGCGGTTCGTCGTGTACTCGTTGGTTTCGTAAGTCAAACGAAGATTACAATCGAAGCACTATGTGCTGATACAGTTAGATTGCGACGATGAAATATTGTAACACCAATGTAAAGATAGTGACGCATTTCGGATGAACTTATGTATGAGTAAGGGATACATTTGTATCAAAACATTTAGTGAAATAGCGAGGCAGTAGTGTATGCGTCAACAATTGAATGAGATGTTTGACTTTGATCCTTCATCCGACTCAAAAGCTGGTAAATCCGATCCGTCGAGCTAAAGTAGCCTAACCAAGGCGGCTGCGAAGTGCAGCAAATCGTTCTTTGGCTTCGCGCTCATTTTTCTCGAGTTCCTCCCTGAGATTTCGTTGGCGCCCATAATTTTCCATAATCAGATTCTCGATCTCTCCCTCCGACTCTCGGCAGGCCTCCATGCTCTGATGGAAGAGATTGCCTACGGTRTCGAGAATACTTCGAACCTCAGCTTCTATTACCACATGAACCTCGTCCATTATTTCGCCAAAGTTGTCTCGGGTGCAATTTACTTGTTCACGCTGGTCCAGAAATGACAGGATTCGTTGACGTGATGGTTCGTGTTCGATAAGTGTTTCCCAGTCAGGATCTTGACCAACAACAACCGTCTCCTTCTCGTTCTTGTGTGAGTACTTATCATCTGGAGATTTTCCCCCCCTTGTCTTGGTCTGAGTTGTACCCGGTCTGTCTTCTCCCAATATGACTTTCTGGTCATTCGCGACATTATCACAATTTTCTTTCTGGTATAGTTTCGAATAAGCAAAACGAGAAAAGCAATTAATGATACCGTATATTCCTACAATACAAGATTCGAATGTATTGTGTCCAATGTTGTAACCTTTTTTGACTACTTACGTCTCCCAGAACATCCTCAAGAAGTGTTGTGTGCGTCTTTCTCCATTCAATATCTGTTGCATTCATGAGCTCCAGTAGTTTGTTCCGGCGATAGTTATTCGATACCATGGTCTTTATGATATCTTCTTCGATATTCTCGATGCGTTCCGAATATTTATTGCAAACCGGCGCGACAATTTCAGATAAAATTGTGTTTGTCAGCTTGCGCAATTCCACCATGAATTTGTCGATGTCATTGGCATAGGCGGTGGTCGCTCGGCGTCGAGTTTCCTTGGTCTTGAGGTAGTCTTCCAGATTTTGTTTCTCACTGGTACCCATATTATTGACAAAATCATTCCAGTCTTTATTCAACGAGTCTTCTTCGCTCTCCTTCTCAATAGTTTGCTTGTCCTCTTCTGATTCTTTGTCTTCCTGGTCAACAGCATCGGCATTGGTGGGGACTCTATCGTTGCTCGTAATTCCACCTTTGTCTTCGCCCCGAATGAGGTTGCGATCAATGGCAGCGACGTGTAGGATTTCTCCGTTCTTTACACTATCTTTTTCCGCATTCTCGTCGCTTCGTAGAAATGGATATTTTCTTACGGCGGGCTGATTGAAGGATTGTATCGATGGAAATGAGACACAACGGCGTCAGTCATTTCTACGAATGGGGAGCGAAACAGACATCGATCATGTTCTTACCAAGTCTGATTCTTTCAACGTACGTAAATCGTTGAACTTTCCCCCGGCTGTTTTTGCAGATTGCTTCTTTCTCCTCTGTTGGAAAATCGAGTCGGACGTGGAAGACTCGCGTTTCTTACCAACGATCGTATCGTCTTTGTTTGGCTCCTTCGATCTTTCGCCACTACTATCCTTGTGAATAGAGGACGGACAGCCCTTTTCAAAGAAAAGATTTACATCGCCCCTGAACGAAAGATGCGACATAACATCAACTGTAAAGGAAGTTCAAGACGTTAGAGATGGCCGGACAGAATTGGCAACGCAGTCAACCCAAACCCCAACAAATCAATTCTTTCGTTTCTCTGGTTGTCCTATTTTTCTGTTAAAGCGACTCGTAGACCTCAACTTACATAGTTACTGTATTGGATCACTTGGATTGGAATTATCTTCTAGCAAAGAAGTGGTCTAGATACTTCTCTAAAATATTGTTTTGCAAGAAATGCATTCAAAAAGTGAGCAGTTACTATCGTCTTGCATCGAACATCGGTTTTCATGTTTTCTCTCTACCGGATCATTCCGATCCCGATCTCAATCGTGACCCAGTCTTCAAAAAAAAATTGCTGAAGCCACGGGACAGTTTGAAGCACACACGACACAGTACAGTATTACATGGTACCGTACTTCTACTAGAAGTACCTACCAAGTTCTTACTTCGTATAAAAATACAGTAAGCTTGAGTCGTCGTTCAAATTGCGCTTGAGTTTTYGAAAAAAGAAGTACTAAAAGTAACACCCCGTCCTCTGATTTTGGTGGCACGTGCTGTCCCTATCTAAAAGAAAATTCGAGGCGCGCATGCGCCGAGGATTTTCTTTTAGATAGGGACAGCACGTGCCACCAAAACCGACTCYGAGGCAAGTGAGCTGCTCTAAAAATTCCTATAGGAGGCTCCTTTTTCGAGGCCCCCCGGGCCGAGGAAAAGGAGCCTCCTATAGGAATTTTTAGAGCAGCTCACTTGCCGAGGAGGAGGACAAGAGGATAGGGGTGTTAGTTGTGTAATCCAATGCTTGCAAGGTTGAGCAGTGGAGGAGACCCTTGCTAGGGATCGGCGTTGCTGTTTTGATGCTGCTTTTTGCTGCTTTTCGACGGGGACAAGAATAAACCTGTGTCGCTACGTGATTTACGTAGGCCTGGTACAGGATGGTACCAAAGTACTTTTTAGTGGTACCAAAGTACCACTTTTGAAAATTCAGTGCGCGCATGCACGCGTATCACTCTTACTACCGGTAGTTGGTCGCTAATAGTGGCTCATAGCTAGTCGCTCCAGTAGTTAGCTGCGTGTTCACTCATAGTTAGCTGTATGTGTGTGACTAGATGGCTATGGCCCTCGCGGGATTCCGTTTCAGTTTGTACCATGTTCTACTGGTTTGCTTTGATTTTGTACTACATCCTACGATTTTGTACTACATCCTACGCACTTGTTGTTTTCACTCACTAATCTAATCATAGTTTAGAAAAAGCAACGATTCGATCCGCTTCTTTTGAACTAGACCATGGGAATAGGCCTCTGTTTCCATTTGTTTCTCTTGTTTACAACACGTAGTATCATTTGTGAGTGTCCCTTATCATCGCGCTTTGATTTTTATGAGGTGTATCTTGGTTTTAACTTTGAAATTGCTGTTTTTCGTTGACTGCTTGCTCATTACGGCGACGACTGTAACGACGACAAACAACAACGATAACGACCTAACGACAAACAATGACTGTTGTCTTCTTTGTTCTTTCTGCTGTTGTATGGTTCACTAACTACGACTATGGTGGACCTCCAACAGCTTCAAAGTAAGTGCGCTATCACAAGAGGTCATTCCTCGATATTTGGACTACTCCTCACGCCGTTTCGTCTGTTGTTGTTTATTCTTCTTCGAGGCATCCAAACACCAACATCATGGTTCGAACCATTCCACCGCGCAAGAGCAGCAGGAGATCAGCGTCCACTACTACTAGTACTGGTCGCTGTACTCRTTCTTCTTCTTTTTTGTCTGGGAATCCATCGTCGCGCCAGACTAGGTCGAAAGCTGCTGCAGTTTTGGTTGCAGCGAAAAAGCAACAAAAGCGCGTACCAAGGAATCCTTACAAGAAGAAGAAGCCTTCTTCTTCTTCCCGTTGCCGCAGTTCATTGCCGGCTGCTTCTTCTTYGAAGATGCCGGCAGTTGCTCCTTCGGCAGGGTCGCCAGCTCCACCAACATTTTCTCCTTCGACGATGCTCCTGCCACCAGCAGCAGCGCCTCCAGCTCCAGCGCCACCAGCTCCAGCGCCACCAGCTCCAGCTCCAGCACCACCAGCGCCACCAGCAGCACCACCAGCTCCAGTCGCTCCTTCGACGATCATGCCAGTTGCTGGTCTTTCCTCCGCGAATACCAATCCTTCTGACGACGACGAGACTGAAGAATCTACTGCTGTTCCTAGCACCAATTCCGGCACCATGCTCCTTGAAGACCA